TACCACATTTTGACGTCATCTGTGATCTATTACTGAACAGACGCACGGCAACATGGAATCTATTTGTTAAATAGATAGTGAGTAGCGTAGCCAATCATGCCAGAGAGCGGCATTCGTGATAGAACGCTAGCAGATTTATACTAAAGTAAATTAGAATGAAATTAATTAACTTTGTTTGAAAGGAGGAAATTGCAATCATTTCATTAGTTTTTTTCACTTACCTTGAACAAGAATTTTTTTGGTGCTGCAGAAATCTTTACCATTCCTCGCTTGGCAAGTGTAGTTACCAAATGTTTGGTTCGTCAGGGTACTAACTGTAACTGTGCAGCTCATGTGTGTAGCTGGTGGCGAGTCGGCGTCACATTTTTTCCCGAATCGTTTATCTTGTGGGTCAAACCATTGAATTCGTTTTGGTTTTGTTTTTTGACTATCAGCTTGCCAAGCAGTGCAAGTCAAGTTAACAGTTTCATTAATAGTTACATGTAGCTTGCTGGATGGCGGAGTTATTTCAATCCTAGGTTCGCCTGATTGCAAAGGGAAAAAAAGAGACCAAAAGACATGTTTCAATAGATGCACGTATTCGTTACACGTCAATTTGCTAGAGATCAAAGCTTTGTGTTATGCCGCTTAAAACATGCAAAAATGTAAGTTCTTAACGGCCAAGTTTTACGGAGCATAGCTATTGCTTTCTCGACCCCTCAGTTCTTATTGTAATTCTGTTTTGTCTTTTCAAACAATCACCATCCTTGCCTTTGTTTAATCCTCCTTCGTCAACAAGGTGCCCTGGAGGCGTTGACGTCTTAATCACCACAGTTCAAATAAACTGTTTTCTAATATTTCCTATTTTGCAACCGCTGGTCAACCCATCTCCTAGATATGTATATTGTTATTTAGTCCATTCCAATATAGTGCTGATATTATAACTTACCGGGATTGTTGCTGTTACAGTACTGACACCAGGCAGATGGGAGTATTGATAAACCAGTAACAGCAAGTAATAGCAGGAAGTACTTGGTACTGTATCCCAGCCAAGAAATACTGGCCATCGTCACACGTCTGAGACTATGACTTCCTTTTTGTTCAAATAATCTAATAGTCAAACATTTGAACCGGTGTTGGATTGTTGTGACAACAAAATACAGCGTAATATACTCAACAAAATATGCCGCTCATGTTTGGTCAACTTACGATCAAAATAGAGGTTTACCTAATCGGGAAGGGAAAAAAATAAATAGGATCATTCGTCAAATGACCCGGGACTACATTCTGCGCCTAAATAAATTCAAAGAACAAAATAAAAAACAAAACAAAACAAAACAAAACAAAAAACAAACAAAAAACAACAACAACAAAGTGAAGTAAACAAAGTGAAGCTGCGAGAGAGGCTGGCCTATAAAAGGTTTCAGTTAAGTTGAGATCATTTCATCAAAAGGCATTCCCTCTCGTCCCTTTCTCCTTTATTTCCTACCTTTATTATCCCTGCCTTTTAATTTTTTGTTCTCCCTTTTGTGACTTTAAAAAAATTTTTGAATCGACAAGTTATCTTTTTTTTATAGTTGGATTTTTCAGTTTCAATTTTTCTTAATTAACGGTATCACAGGCTCGTTAGTTTTTAATACAAACTATTGTGTGCTACCCTCTTTAATTAAAGATTGATTCGTTGCTTGCTTGCTTGATTGATTGATTGCTTGATTGTCAAACTTTAGTATTGAACTGAATAGCCTTTTGAATATTCGCCATGTTTTCGTAATACAGACTTTGTCAAACCAACCGATCTCCTTAATAGACACTTTTCGCCAAATAACAAACATTATATGCAGCACATATAATGTCATTTTATATCGAGCCATTTTCTTGACTGTTGGTAATAGAAGTCAAGGCTATTTGGGTGGAGCAGGAATGGCAGATCACTTAGGAACCTCCAATCAGATGAAAGTGGGCGGGCACACTAATATTACTTAGATCGCGTGCACTGTTAATTTCGGCCTCCTCGCCATTCAACGGCAACGCCAGGCTTAACAGAACTTTCAGGTTTCTTGGGCAAGTACAATAGTTCTCTTTTCCCTTTCTTTGTCCGTTTGTTAACCTGCTGAGTGGGATTTAGATTCTGCCGTTTAACTTTTGCTATGGGAAAAGCACGTGTTCTAATTTTGGGCCATTCCTTTATCCGTCGCCTTCACGACGTAATCGTTCACTCACGGGATCATCAGTACACTAAAAAGTTTAGCATAACGACACCAGACTTCATTTGCAAATGGCACGGTGTCGGCGGTCGAACGATCGCCAAGGTTTTAAAATATGATTTGAGTGTCATTAAGGAATTTGGCTCCGATATAGTTATTTTACAGCTAGGGACAAATGACTTGGTCGATTCCTCCCCCCTTACTGTGGGTTCTTCTCTTGGACATCTAGCTACCTTACTACACGACGAGTATAAGGTGGACCTGATTTGTGTCTGCCAAACCCTCCGTCGTTCCTCGTCCAACGTTTCATTTAACAAGAATGTTGGATTATTGAATAAATACCTAAAAACGGTACTCGAACCTGTCCCATACGCATTCTTTTGGTCTCACAGGGGGTTTTGGCAAACAAAGAGTTCATTTTTTTGTGTCGTGATGGCGTTCACTTGAATGGTGGGGGGCAACATAAATTATATCGCAGTCTACGAGGGGTAGTACTCAAATGCTTGCGTTTACTGGATGATATTTAGCTACCAATTCTTTATATAAGCTGGTCGCCAGTTCCGTGATTCATTTTCATGGCTTTTATTGCTGTGTTGCGTCCGCAGCTGTTTGTACTTCCATTGGAAGCTTATCTTACCGAAATGTACAATTTGGGCTGTGCCCTTATCTTGTCGGCTGTCTTTAATGTCACTATTACGTTTATGGGGTGCATGCTACTTTTCTTAATTTTAATAGCAGCGTGTTATTTTTATAAATTTCTGCCTTTGATTGCTGCCCCCTGATTGACGCACATATTGTTATTTTTACCATTATAGCAGGACTTTTCCATTAAGTGTACAACCCTCTTCCGGCCGCTTATCGCGCGCCCAATGCACTTGGTTAATGTTCTTGCTCTGTTTTGTGTTTAATCCGGAACTTGGTCTTCGACCTGCTTAAAACATATTTGGTTTGGATTCTGGACTTATGTGTCCTTGCATTGTTCCGCGCATTCGCATTTTAGTTTTGCTCTCTCGTTTCTCTCCGGGACATTCTCGACCCCTCCTTTATTGATTTTCGCATCCTAATTGAATATATATTACACTTTCTGCAAAGCTATGTCCTCTCGTAAACGCCCGACTAGCAACGCCACACGTGGTCGTCCTAAGCGTGCCCGACCGATTCCGCCGACATCGACAGCAACAACTGGCCCGCCTAGCACAAGCGTCAATATGGAGGCTCTGACGGCCTCTATCACAACCGCGGTAACCAGTGCAGTACAGGCCGCCATGCAGACGCAGAAGCCGCCCACAAATGAGACCACAGCCAGCGCTAGCGAAAGCACTGCCGTGTCGGTAGAAGCGGCGGTCTCCGACCAGTTGGCATTGATAACATCCCCTACAGCAGGTACAACAAAGCCCGACTCCTCTGGGGCGTTTTCTACCTTAGAAAATTCAGGACAAATAGGTTTTTCAAGCCTCGCCCTCGAGCTGGGAGAAGGCGTTACCGAAAAGATTAAGGCCAAAGTTTGGGCTAATGAGTACTTGGACTTCGGTCTTCTACTATCAGTAGCCCCAAGTCCTGACCGCTACTCCATCTCGATCAATACTTCTACACCCAGCTTGGGGGCTCAGCTTACCCTTGAACCCTCTAAGCCTCCGAAAAAGATCACAAATATTAATCAATGGATCTCTGCATTTAATGCTTTCGTCGCAATATACGTAGTCAGATTTCCTCACGAGGCACCTAAACTAATGAAATATTGTGAAATCGTCAGAGATATAGCCGCCAAATTCGGTGATTGGGTATTTTAAGACGAGCAGTTTCGCCTTCTCCGGCAAACTGCTCCTAACAAGTATCCTTGGGATGCAGTACACTGGGAGCTCTGGCTAAAGGTGACATTTCGTGGACGACAAACGTCCTCAATCGGTGACAGGCCCCAAGGCACTCGACCACGATCCCACCAGTCGCCATTTCCAAAAGGAACATGTTGGGCTTTTCAGTCGGGCCGATTCTGCGGAGGGGGATGCAAATTCGACCATAAATGCTACAAAT